GACCGCAGATGTCCTTCCAGCAGCGGTGCTGCCCTAGGTGCGGCAGGCCTGGGAAGGGCCGCAGAAGGTTGGCTCCAGGGCGTGTCCAGCCCTCTCTCCCAGTCCCGCCCCGTCAGCCACCTTCTAATTAATTTCCTTTCAATGTGCACGAATCTGTGCACCGGGCCACTAGTAGTAAATAATATGCTTGGACTTCTTCCTACAATCTTATTTGAGTTTCCTATTTATCCTACTTTTAATTTGCTTTTTTATTCCTTCTTTATTGCCTGCTGATCCAGTAACTAACTTTTCTCTAGGTTACTTCCCCCCACATCCCTTCTGTAGTCGTGGAAGCTACACACTCTATTTCTCTTATTTTGGTGAATATCCTTCAAAGTTTAACATGCATATCCGTAATGAACTCTGTCATATTCAAGATCTTTTTTAATTATTAAATTTATTAGGTGATATTGGTTAATAACATTATATAAATTTCAGGTGTACATTATAATTTGACATCAATGTACTCTATTTCATGCTCACCACCCAAAGTCTGGTTTCTTTCCCTTACCATATATTTGACCCACTTCACCCTCTCCCCTCCCCTTCTGGTAACTACCATTCTATTGTCTGTATCTATGAGTTTGTTTTTGTTTTGTTCATGTTATTTTTTGTTTTATATTCCACATAAGTAAAATCCAATGTTTTGGGTCCTTTTCTGTCTGACTTATTTCACTTACCATAATACTCTCAAGATCCATCCACGTTGTCACAAATGGTAATATTTCATCTTTTTAATGTAGTAATCTTTTAAAGAGCCTTCTAAAGTTGGGATAATTCCCTGGTCACAGATTCTACCTCCCCAGCATAAAATTGAATTCAGAACTCTAATTTCCTGCCTCTGTTGCAGCTGGGAGGAAGGCCTATGCCATAGGCTCTGCTAATTAAGAAGCACTGTGGAAATGTGAGGATACAAACTATGCAGTCAGCTTCCATTTTCCTGGTGCAGGTAGATCCAGTTTGTGGAGGTGGCAGTGGTTGCAAGGTCAAGTTTCTGACAGAATTGGAATTGATGTTGACAATAGGAGTAGATGAAGAAAAGTTGAGCTCCTGGCATTTGATACTTGTTGGGAGCAGCAGCAGTTTATGTTCTGTTGCATGGCTTAGGCCTAGTGCACTTTTTTCTAGAAGCTTAACCCAAGCTGGGTTTTTTTTTCAACTCTCCCAGTAACTCTGGGAGTTGTTGAATATCAATTTAAGAAATTCTTGCTTCAATTCTATTCTTTGCAACAACAAACCTTAACCAATAAAATAACTTGTCAGAATCTAAAGTTAAGGAATATCTCACTTAATAAAAGGAGTCTCTTCACTAACTCAAAACTCCCTTCTGCCATCATCTACTGTATTTTTAATGGCTAATATTTTAATTTCACTTGGTTTTAAAATTCCAGAATGCTGGCACATTAAGAAATACTACTGATTTGCCTGGCCAGCATGGCTCAGTGGTTGAGTATCGACCTATGAACCAGGAGGTTGTGTTTTAATTCCTGATCAGTGCACATGCCCAGTTTGTGGGCTCAATCCTCAGTGGAGCGTGTGCAAGAGGCAGCCGATCAATGATTCTCTCTTATCATTGATGTTTCTATCTTTCTCTCCCTCTCCTTTCCTCTCTGAAATCAATAAAAATATATTTTAAAAAATACTACTGACTTATATTAACCAAGATATTTACTTATGTATTATTTACTTATCCTTCTGCAATCTCACTTATTCCTTTAGGGTTCAGCTTTTTTCTTTTTTTCTTTTTGGAGTATGTTCTTTAGTATTTCTTTTAACGAGCACCTGTAAGTTCTAAAGTTTGTAAATGTGTTTATTTTGTTCTTTCTCTTGAAAGATGGTTTAGCTAGGTATAGAATTTTAGTTTCTCAGTTATGGACTATTAATACTTTGGATATATTTTCCATTGTCTTCTGTAACCTATTGTTGCTGATAAATCTGCTGACAGGATGACTGTCATGTCTTTTAGGGTAATTTACTTTTCTCAGTAATAACTTGTAAAATTTTCTTACTGTGTTTGGTATTTTGTAATGTCACTATGATGTACAGGTTTCAATTAAAACAATTTAGTCTGTTTGAGCCTTAGCATCTTCCTTTGACCAGATAATTCATGTTCTTTTCCAAGTCTGAAAAATTCTCACACATCATCTCTATGGATGTTGTTTTTGCTTCATACTCTATTTTCTCTCCTCCAGAAACTCTTTTAGATGTATATCAGGTCTTCTAATTCTATCCTCTAGGTTTCTGAACTTATCTTTGCTATTTTGGCAGTTTAGTGTATGCATTTCCATGTATTTCAGGCTCTCCATAAAAATAATTTTTATAATGTAGGGATTATTTCACTCAGAAGTCATCAATAATTGTCTATTTCTTACCACCTAAGCTACTCTTCTGGCTTTTAAGGCCCTCATGCATCCAGACACCCTGCCAGTGATTAGTTGGGTAACTACAGGCACACAACTTCTTTGAGCCAGAGTTTCCTAACACAAAGAACTTATTGAGATTATTAAAAAACTTAAGCGTTAAAGCATATAAGGTGCTGACAAGTACACAACACAGTAGCACAGTAAATAACATTTGGAGTGGTGTCCTAGCTCACAGAAATTTCCTTGGTGGTCACCTATATGACATCTTTCCTCCCACCATTTTAGACATTAATTCTGAATGGAAGTTATCAATTCCTTGGTTGTTGTGATTGGCTGAGGCATGGACACATGAGCCTAGTCCAGTGGTAGGCAAACTCATTAGTCAACAGAGCCAAATATCAACAGTACAACGATTGAAATTTCTTTTAAGAGCCAAATTTTTTAAACTTAAACTATATAGGTAGGTACATTGTTATTAACTTAATTAGGGTACTCCTAAGGCTTAGGAAGAGCCACACTCAAGGGGCCAAAGAGCCGCATGTGGCTCGCAAGCCGCAGTTTGCTGACCACGGGCCTAGTCCAACTGAGACTTTTAAAATTTGAAGTTTCCTTTATGACTGCAGAGTACTTAAAAAAAGTGAGTAGAACTGCTGGCTGTACTAAGGGAGAAAGTGACATTTAGAAAAGTGGGGAGGAAAAATAAGGGTGGGAGAGATATTATTAACACCATTCAAGTGCCTGGCCTCATTAGTTTTGATGATGTGGGACTTTTCAATACTATAGATTCCTTTAACATTTGAATAGTTTATAAGCAGAAATACCTTTTAAGAAAGATTTTAAAATATCAGAATTTGAAGATGAATCTTATTTCATTTTATTGCTTAATTATATAGATTTCTTATTCCTGTATTTCAGAATGGTTGTTACCCTTTCTCCAGCTATGGAAATGTAGTTGCTGCAATACTAAATTTGAATGGTCCTGCAGAGTTCCCACAACCTTTCATAGTATTATCTTATTTGATTTGGTGAGATGAGTAGTCTAGGTAATGTTAAGCTTAGTTTCTATACTAGTAAATGATGAATTTATGATGCAAACGGTGTTCAGAGTGTAGAAGGGTGAGAACCTGGCTAGGTATTAAGCATCGTCAATGAGGAGAGCTCAGAGAATACTATTGGCAAGGTTGTCAGAGATGGTACATTATAAGTCACTTTTTAAAAATATACTTTTATTGATTTCAGAGAGGGAGAGACAGAAACATCAATGATAAAAATCATTGATTGGTTGCCTCCTGCACCCCCCACACTGGGGATGGAGCCCGCAACCCAGGCATGTGCCCTGACCTCGAATCGAACCTTGACCTCCTGGTTCATAGGTTGACACTCAACCACTGAGCCATGCCGGCCAGACTAAATCATTTTCAATAATTATTGTTCATTAGAAAATTTCAGAAGAACTCTAAAAAGTTTCATTAACTCAATCATAAAATCTAGTAAAATGCACTTGTGTTTTCCCAAAAGTTAATCTTCGCCATGTTCCTAATCAAGTTCCTGTTGTGCTTCAAAATTCAAGAACTTTTATTTAACCCAGAGGAGAGATAATTGGGGGTGGGACCAGGGAGAGAGGAATGTATTAATTCCTGCTCAAGACATCCACAGTGCTTAACAGGCTCATGTATGAAACGGGTAAATTCTTACACTCTTTGACTAAGAGAACTTTATTGGTTAGAGCACATGGGAAATTTTCACAAGGTAACTTACAATCACAAAGTACTCTAGTAAAAGTACTCTAGTTTTGGAGATCTCAAATGCTTTCACATGAACTCTTTTACCCTCAGTGAAATGGTAAGTAGAGACTGAGTAACAATTAGTATACATACCTATTTCATCTGCTGCAATTGATGAAGAGAGAGATGTACTCAAAATAATATGATGCGAGAACATTTTGACTTTTTTAAAATAATTTTTTATTTAAATGCATACAAAGGTAATATTCCAACTTCATAAATTGTTAACTTTAGCATTCATACAACATTTCACTCATTTGAAAGTAATCTGTGGACTTGATTTCCTCACTTCTCAAGAATTCCCAATTATGCACAGACTTTGGAGGGGGGGGAGGTGGAAATCAAAGCAAATTGCAAATGAAATGAGTTACTCATAGACAAATAATTTCAAAGACAAATTCATAAAAATCCTTTCACTTCTCCAATTATATTTATTTATTTATAACATTTCACTCATTTGAAAGTAATCTGTGGACTTGATTTCCTCACTTCTCAAGAATTCCCAATTATGCACAGACTTTGGAGGGGGGGGAGGTGGAAATCAAAGCAAATTGCAAATGAAATGAGTTACTCATAGACAAATAATTTCAAAGACAAATTCATAAAAATCCTTTCACTTCTCCAATTATATTTATTTATTTATATATTTCTAAATATATTTTTTAATTGTTGATAGCATTACTTCTTCTTTAACTTCATCCTGATTGTTACCTCCCAGCTATGAGAATCCCTCCATTTTAAGTAGAACGCATAATTTATGATGAGGAATGTAATTTTAGATAAGAAATTGTTTCGATAGAATCATTTTGCACTCTGATAGTTTCATTTTTTATGTGTTAAAAAATGTTAAAAGATAAACTTTTTGTTATAAGTACAGCATTGCGATATACTGACAGTCCCGGCATGGGTCCCTCGTTCTCATGACTGCCATTAGACTCAAATCGATCCTCTGAATAGTCTGTCTCAGGAGACACAAACGATGTAGGGAGCAAGGGACTTTTAAAAACCGAGCCTGACGTAACACATTCGTGTCTTAACCATCTGTACCTTTTTTATTAACCAGGGGCTGGAGCTGCCCAGGCGGACAGACACAGGCGCACAACAGTCTTCTCCCACACAAGCCGGGAATGGTAACAGTGTGCGGCTGCCGAAGAAAAGCCGTGTCAGAGCTGTGGGGTGGCGTGGGGGTGTGCGTAGCAGGGTGAGGGAGCCATTCCTCTTCTACATCCAAAGGTGCTATTTATTGGAAATCCGGCACATCCTTTGATTTCTCTCGAGTGGGAGGCAAAACCTTTCAAATGCGAAAAGAAGAAAGAAAAAAGAATCAAGCCTGGCAGGGGGACTTTGGAGAGAACCACAGCCTTGCTTCGGATTGGGACGGCGGGTAGAGAAAGGCTCGGGCGTCTACAACCTGTTTGGCTGCAAAGATGCCGCTTTCCGCCCGAGTTCCAACATCCGCCACCTCCCACAAGGTTGCAGCCCGGCGTCACCTCTCGCCTTTCCGCACCTCCTCCAACCTCCCCAATTCGAGGAGTGTGTGCCGGTGAAGGCATTCCTTCTTCGACGTGCAAGATCCGGCTCGTTCATGCTCCCCCTCCCCCGCTCCCTTTGGCCCTGCCCGCCACCCCCCGGAGGGCAGCAGCCTCCCGGGGACCACCTCTCACCCCACTCCCTCGGCTCTTTCATCCTCTCCAAGCCCAGGGCGCATTCCCACTCTCCCTCCACTGGCGAGTCCGGTTTGCCCCCAAAACCCCAGAGACGCTTCCAGGAAGGCGGCAGCCTCCAGGTGCCCATCACTCACGCCCCTTCCGGCCTCTCACCCCGTACCTTCGACCTTCCCGGCTTTGGGGAGCGTCTGCACTCCACCTCCACGTGCAAGCCCGGGGCTACCGAGCACCTTCCCGGTAACCCGCCCACCCCCAACTCCAGCCTCGGGCTCCGCCCACTGCGC